TCATGGAGAATGAAGCAGTAGTAGTTAGAAATAGGAACATGGCACTAAATGCAACAATGTAATGTAAAGACTCCATAACCCCAGTAGGAATTCATACAAGCGTCCGACCACTTATATGTGGAGTCCTGTCCTGCAGAAACTGGCTCCCAGAGGTTACCTATACTGATTATTATTATTATTATTGTTTTTTGCTTTATTTTGTTTCCCCAACAGATAAATGTGCATGGATGTTATTTTATAGTATTATCAGGTTATTAACCCACCCAACCAGCCACACCAAAACCATCAGCTGTTTGGCTAATTCTAGAAGTCCATATATGTTCTGTGATAACCATGTATATGATCATATAAGGTCTCATGTTTGAAGGGACTCACTTAAGAAAAAGTTGTGTACCCTTAACCAAAAATCAAGTGTTACATGTTGAGTGAGGTTAGAACAGGGAAGACAGAACCTTGTTTTTAGGAAAAAACATAGACCATGACTTTGACATTTTAAACATCATGCTGGTATTTACATCTGTGCCTTTTAAATTGATGAATATGAAGCTAACTAGAAAAAGCATAATAATATCGTAATAGTGCACTAATGCTAATGAAACACCTGTTTGAACTTCAAAGTTGAGCTCCAGCACTACCACTCTGGGGTCTCCCTGGCATAACATTTAGTTCCATGTTGTTTGCTTAGGGCTCCTACACAGGGGTTCACTTTTCCTGGTAATATAGTAACATCCAACACTCTCTTTTTAACATCCCCTTACTAGCAAAGTAACTTAAATAGACACTGTCACCTTGCTTCTAGCTCCCCCTTAAGCTATACTCCATGCTCCCTCACTGCCTCTCTGCTTTGTCAGAGCCTCAGTCCATTGCTCTTCTGATTATAGCGAGTGTGTAACCTAAGTCATCATGTGACAGTGTTCAAGTCAATTGCCACGCTTGAAAACTGCCCCCATCCTTATGTAAGCTCCAACACCATCTGACACTGAAATTTACCCAACTTACTCCTTCAGCAGGAAGGTGGTAAGGGAACATGGAGTGTAATGTGTTATAACGATGATAGAGGGCTATTAACAGACAATAACACTATACCCTTGAATAGGCAAAGTGACAGTGTCTCGTTTGAGGCTCCTTGAAACTTGCCAAAAGCTTTGTAAATGCTTTAAAACAGCTTGCATGTTGAAGCCCATATCTGCAAGGCCCAAGCATGAAGTAGACTCTGTTCATTGATCATACTCTATGTAATTATATTCTATGATATAATCTAGAATTTTCTTCTACACTGTAAACATTTTTCAAACACTGCACTAATAGGGTTCTACTATTAACTGTGCTTGGAAAACACCAATGCACAACTGTCTTTATTAATCCAATGGTGCATGGGAAGCAAATTTCATCTTTCATCAGTTTGGCATTCGCCAATATAATGATATATGAATTATATTTCACTGCTAAGGGTCACCAGACTTTGCACTGTGCATATTGTCTTTTCTAAACATTTAAGGAGCTCTAAACACAATTTGTTAAATATCATAAAAGCTTTATCATATTAATTTAATTTTAAAAGCTGTAATTATTATTTTAAATCTACATCTTAAAATGTTTAATCTAAAAGTCTTTCTGCCATAAAGGTCCTTGTTCAGGCACTTCCTGTTATGGAGGGACAACTGACAGTTGTGCCCCTGCATTGTCATCTTGCCCCATGTGTCCCTGGTTGAGACTGCAAGCAACTGTCCTGAGACACATTATGCAGCCATAGTCATTATCAGGAAGCTGATCCAGAGCAATGATGTGCAGCTGTGGCAGGAGCCGATGCATATAGACAGGAAGTGGCTGAAAAAGGCCTGGCAGATCAGCAGCACTGAGAAAAAGATGTAAACAAAATGTTTATGGATAAAATCCAAATTGGTTATGATATATAGGGGTCTAGTCACTAAGCTGCCATAGGCAGCCGAGTGAATGACCGACCTGAAGCAAAGTGAGCCGAACGCTGTTTGGCTATTCTCTTCAGGCTGGTATGGCTGATTTCAGCCGTATATATGCTGGAATCAGCCGTACATCGGGTGGCTTCGCATGGCTTCGGGTCGGCCGAACATGCTCAGCATGTTCGGCCAACCCGAAGTGCAGAAGGAGTTCGACTCAGCCGATCCAACATCTGGGTTGGGTATGCCGAACTTCCGGCAGGCTACTCACTGCTGTTCGGTCTATTCTTATAGATGCCACTGAGCGGCATTTGGCTCGGCTGTTCTGCTCGCTCCCTCTGTGGGACCGAGCAGAACAGAAAAATAGTTTAAAAAGTAGAAAAATAAAAATAGAAAACGGCTTGCTCCGCCCAACAGTTTTCTATTGGCCGGCGGTTCTGCTGCCGTCAAAAAAAAGAAAAAAAAATGTGGCCATAGGAATGCATTGCTAGATTCCTATTGGCTATTTCAATTTGCAATAGCCAATAGCAAACTAGCTATTGTACCCGCCCTCTGCTGTGATCAATCACTAGTAGGGACCTGATGGAGAACTGCAGCAGAGGTACAATAGCTAGTTTGCTATTGCAAATTGAAAGAGCCAATAGGAATGTAGCAATGTATTCCTATGGTGAAAAATTATTTGTTTTTTTTCTGTTCTGACACGGCTCCGTGTCAGAATTAAATTTTTTTTAAAAAAAAATCAGTGTTTCTCTCCTTGGCGGCCGGGAGACTCCCAGAGCGCCCGGGAGAGTTAGGCTGTCTGGAGATCAGTGTCCCTGCTTAGCTGGTAACCAGGGGCGCTGATCTCTCTGCAATAGCAATCTACATTCAACCCAGTTAGGGTTGACATCTAAATATGTAAATCAGTTTCTTCTCAGTTGGTCTATATTGTCTCGTATTGCCATCAGTTATTCCTGCTCTCATAATACAAGTAAAATAAATGTTTTATGGTTATTTTCTCAAAGTAGAAGTTCACCCTAGAAATCATCAGGGAACTTTAAGCAGCCATTTAACCCATGGACTTTGTTAAATGCATAGCACCTTAAATTCTGTGCATGCTACGGTTGCCCAGCAATCAGCATTTGACAACTCCTGGTGTCGCTCAGCCCTTCTCATGCTACCTACATCATTGACAGCATCAGGGCACAGAGGAAGCGCATTCTAGCGTCTACAAGATGTAGATAGCATAAGTTGCATGGTGTCAATAGTAATAGCTGACTGTTTCCAATACAGACTGCAGGACAACCGGAAAGCAGACAGAAGTCAAACATGGTGCTATGCATATATCAAGGTACATGTATCACATGGCTGTTCCATTTTTATTGTTGATTTCTACAACAAACATGTGCTTTAAAGTATAACTGTACATTATTGTAAACAAGACATTGCCCGCCATCCCAATTTCTACAACAATAATCTAAGCATACCCCAGTGTTTGTGATCAATAGTCTTTATTTGCAGTCTTTTAGGTGGTTGGACCTCCTATAAGAATTAGGTGTGTGTGCTAAGTTAAGATCTAGTCATTGTTCCCTGTGAGCCAGACCCCCTATTCAAGCTCAGTCTATGTACTTAATTCAAAAGGAAATTCAAGTGCTGAAAACGTTAAATTCAGATTAAAGTATAATTGTAGCTAGCCATGAGCTCTATCAATATATATCGCTACAACAATATCATGTGCCATAAACATGATAGATTCTTACTCTGAGGTACACAATGTCATGTAGCCCTCCAAATGAATAGGACACAGACCTCACATACCTGTCCTATACCATGTCCGTATCCTACCCTGTCTGAAACAACACTCCCCTCTAATGGCCCAAGAGAGAACTTCATAAAAAAAGTAAGTAATCCAGATGTGGAGTACTGCTTTCTCAGCAATGAATTTAGGACAGTGGAGTTCAAATGGGTTCATGATCTACATGATCACACCACTAAAAGTAGCTTGGGAATGACTCTCTTTGGTGAAACTCGAGAAATTCAGGATCGGGAGAGCCAAACAAGCTTGCTTACTTGCAAAATAAAATGCAATGCCCCACAGAAAACCCAATGATAAGCCTATTAAATTGTACACACTGTTTGCAGGACCACATTACAAGGCATCGCTACTCAAGCCTTACACTAACTGTGAAAAGAACATATAATCATATAATGCATGACTTGTGTAAACATATGTTGAGAAACATGTTAGTAAAAATGTAAAAAGAAGAAATGCATAAAGTTAAAGATGTCAAACTTGTTGTTTGTAATAAAAAGTCAATAAAAAGTTAATATCAAGTCATATAATATCAATCTTAAGCACTTTAGGCTGATATACTAATCTGTACATATAAAAAGCTCCTTAGATTTGCTGTTTCATATGATCTCATTGTCACCCTTTATATGTGTACATCTTCAGAGTATATTACATGAACACAAGCATTCAGGATCATCTTAACAAAGAAGAGGAGTGGATTGGCTACAAATTTCCTAACCTGTTTAATCAACTTCTCTTTCCGCTTTCAAATGTTTAGGCTGTCTATTACAATGGTGTGTACAGTGTCCCCTGATGGAAAGATGAAGCTGGAATTGTTTGTATTGAACAGCAAACGTCCACCAGGCATGCCACAGAAGAATTGTTCATATCATATTTTTTACTATCATCCCCCAAGCAAATGTAATAAAAAAAAGGACAGGGGGTACTTTATCATGAGCCTAAATCTGCATTGAAATAGTTTAATTAGTATGATTATAATAGTGTAATTATTATTATTATTATCATCATCATCATTATTAATATTATCATCATTATTATTATCATAATTATTTTTTATTTAGGATTTACATAGCACTAACAGTTTGCTTTACAAAATGAAAGTGAGACAGTACAGTTCCCATGCAATTCAATACAGGAGGGTCCTTATTTTGATAAATGATTAATACATTTTCCCTAAAATATTTTTTTTTTTCATTTACAAAACAAGCAAAATGACAAAAACAAGCAATTCATTAAAATTTCAGTTTAAAAAAGTTTGTAATGTCTTTGCTATGCAGAAAGCTTGTACTTACCTGCGATTGGTGTAACTGGTACTAGCAGATGCTGCATTCTGATCAGGGTAGTTGTGCTGCAGAGTGGATGCTGGGAATTGGTACAAGAACCCAGTGCCACAGGTAAATCCGAACAGGCTGGAGGACCAGAGCAAGACCAGAGGGTATTTCATTTTCATCAATAAGGGGACCATACCAATGTGGAGAGCCAATCCAGCAGCAAAGTAAAGGATTCTGTGGTACAAGAGCCCAAATGTTTTGCAGAGCTGGACTAAACACACAGGAACTGGCTGCTGAACTGAAGTCCTTTAAATTTGGTGAGTTTGCTCCAGTCATTGAAAAAGTGGGCTGTAACAATATCACAATGTATATTGCTAGCACCATCTAGTGGAATGCATGGCTAAGGTTCTGTATTAAAACCAGAGATCACTGCAATTAATGCTTAAAATAGCGCAGCTAGGTTGAGGTTTGCCATGTTAAACATGTAGAGTGAAACAAATGAAGTCAATATGTGGCATGACATTGCTAAAAGGAATGCAGGTATGACAATATTTCATTACATCGCCAGTTTGAACAGTAAAAATGTGGAATTCCATTCTGCAGTTAGTTGTATCAGTAGAAAACATTGATAACTTCAACCTAGACGAGTTTCTTGGTTCACAGAATATACAGGGATATGGGAGATGAGAGCAACATCTGTACACACTCATACGCACACATATAAGTTGAACCGGATGGACTTGTGTCTTTATTCGACCTTGCCTACTATGTAAGGACATAACTATGTAAAAAAGTGGGTGTAATTAACAAAAAAGCAAGCAAAGTGTATGCATATACATACACTAGTATACAAAACAAAAATATGTTAAATGATTAATAAATGTGCAATTATGTGAAAGCTTATCAACAAGTTCACACCAGAACAATCCATAAACTGAAGACATTAAACTAAAAACTCTTCTTCCACTGTGTGAATAAAGTGCTGTTGTGTGCTAATGTTCACAAGTAGTGCCAAACCCAATGTGCTCTTCACCTCTATGTAAAAGGCACACTCGCCACATGTGTAGGACCCCTTAACATTAAAGGAGAACTATGAGGTGAGTGCTTTTCACTCACCTCATAGTTGTAGCCGACCTGTGACAATGAGACTGTCACAGGTCGGCTCAGTAGATCGAGAAGTGAGCGAACACATACCGGCGTTCGCTCACCTCTCGATCCTGTGACAGCTCTCTGCCGTGACAGGGGAGGGGCTGGATTCCCCCCTCCCCGCTCCGCCAGTGCTGACTGGCCGATCGGACGGGGAGTGGGCGGGTACAGCTGGCTCTGCCTCTAGATTGGCAGAGCCAGCTGTCACTCACGCAGCTGGGCGGATCCAGACATAATTGTCGGGATCCGCTTCAGCTGCGACGTCTCAGAATACCGCGAGCAGTAGCTTGAGGTGTACTGTGGCGTCTTAGTATACCGCGAGCTGTAGCTCGCGATATACTGAGTTTAGGGTGACGGGAGGACACTAGTTTGTGTCCTCCCGTTACCCTATGGGGAAAAGCCCTAACCCCCATAGTTCTCCTTTAAGGTCTTAAAGTACTATTAAACTTTTTTCAATAAAGAATCAAGGTCCAACAAATATACATTGCCAGGCAAAGTATTTCTTTACATTTCTGTCCAAACTCTCACCTACATCTTTCCAAACAGCTCCAACTCTTTCAGCTCGGCTTCCCTACACTTCCTGTCCAGTACGAGATCACAAGGGAAAGAGCAGTCTCCAGCAATTGTCCGACTACTAACCTGGAGAAGGGAGAATGAGGGAACAGGGGAGTGTCTGTGTGTTTGTAGAGACGCATACTGCTTAATAGCACACACCAGGGAGGCTATATCGGACCCTGCAAGGGAAACAAGCCACCCTAACACAGGATATCAGGGCCAGTGCTTGGGGGACCAGCTGATTCTGCAGAAAGCTAAAACTTTTAAACATCAAGGAGCAGTATCCATTGTAAGTGATTTCAATCAGCTTAAAAAAACTTTTGACTATAATATCGCTTTAACTTGATGAAAAGGTTGGTATTTAATGTAAGGACACTTCCCAGTACATAACACCCTTAGGGGGAAGCGGTGGGCAAATCCTTCCTTAACGCACCTTACAAGCCCAACAAAAAGAGACAAGGAGAGGGATGCGAACGTCACATAAAAATATGCCCATTAAATTAAAGCCACATAAAATAATTTCACATCTGTGTGTGCTATGTCCCACACCAATGAATGTACTGCTTAGGCTTGTGGAGTTACAGATACACCACCAGTTGCTTCTAACACATATGTTTCCCCGCTCAACACCGTACATTCCATCCAGCATCCTTAGGAGCAATGAAAACAGTAGTATGCAAACATCCTGTGTGACTAAGTGATGACTTTGACTTTGTTTTTTGAAAGCAGTATCCAATAACTGTCTTGTGAGGTCAAACTGGATCTAACCAGGATCGAATATGCAATGGAAGACACAGATGTACAACTAGGAAAGAGGATGAATGTATTCCAATTTAGCAAACAAAAGCATTAAGAGAAACTCTAGGAAAATCACAAACTTACCCTTGCAGTGGAGCTACACCTGCACTGCAATCGTTAAGTGCTCATTTTGTCTAGGTGGACTCAAATGAAGCTGTATTACTTACTGATCCTCGGTTATGTGGATCCCCCCTCTGCTCCAGCTAAAGATAATGTTCATCGGCATCTGTATGTCTATTGCAGGTCAATGCAAAAGATGTGATGACATAAGTGGTCCTTAGACCCAGGGCCGTAGCAAGGGCGAGGCGACTGTGGCTCTCGCCTCAAGCGTAGGTGCCGGGGGGAATGACAGCCAGCAGGGAGAAGTGGGGCTTCTCCTCTGGATCCCCTGGATCCTCGCTGCTCTCTCCCATCTGTATGCAGCGGGGATCCGAGGAGAAGTGATGGAAGCGCTGCAAGGGGGGGCGGAGGATGGAGCCGCAACATGGCTGAGCGGTGAGGAGAGGGAAAGCCGCTCCACCAGGATATGACAGCCGGTGGCTCTCTCTCTCCTCACTGCTCGGCCATGCTGCTGTGACACGGCTCCGCCCTACGCCCCCCCCTGCGGCTGCTTCACTTCTCCTCGAATCCCCGCTGCCTCTGCCCGGGAGAGCAGTGGGGATCCAGAGGAAAAGGTGCAGACTGAGCCCCCCTCTGTGCGTGGCAGAGCGGCGGAGGATTGGTACATATCAGGGATATGTACCGATCCCCTGTGCAGAGCAAACACTGGAGCGATCAGCTCGTCACTCCAGTGTTTGTAAATAACTGGGGTCACAGTGTTCATTCATGAGTTTCTGAATGGGGAGTGGCACTCTGTACAGAGGCTTCTCCCCATTCAGAAACTGCTTAAAAGTAAATATTTTCTGAATGAATGGGAAGCCTCTGTACTTTCCATTCATTTAGAACAGGCGCTGCAGAAAAAGAGATTGAGGACTTTGTGTCCTCAATTTCTTTTTCTATTTTAAAAGGGAAATATCAGGGGGCTGTTTAAGTTCACCTCATTTATTGACATTCACTTTGCTATATGAGCAGCCTTTGCTGCTTTGGTAAATCAGCCCCAGTGAGCGTAAACCCTCCCCTTTCCTTCTAGAATGGAGGTTTATCACTCATCTCTTGTAGTATGTACGGACCTAACTGCTTGTTTTATGGATTAAGGATTGTGTACATACTACGTGTTTCCATGCAGTTTCTGTGTAGCTTGTCCATGATGCATCAACCACCTGCTGGCTGCAAACATGCTCAAAGTGATTATTTTGTGAAGCATGTAAATTGTATACTATTACTTTAAATGGAGGTCACAGGAAACGTAAACATGAGGTCGTGAACACCAAATGCACCAAATGTGATTAAAACATGCCTAAACAGAGGATAGCCCCAAAGACCCTTTTATAGTATAATGTTCAAACAACCTCCAAAAAAAGATATGTTCTAAAAACAACTGTCTGAATTTATTGGGTCTGACTTCCAATTGCTATACACATACTGTATACTGGCGCATCAATTATACAATGACAACTAAATTGTATTCTGACAGTATTTAACATGTGCCTACAATGCATACATAAACACACACACACAGGCTACAGTCAGTGGTGTATACAGGGTATTGTACTTATGGGACATCACTTGTTGGTAGGAGCTGGGCAGGACGCTGGCCAAAGCATCCCAGTTTGCTTAGAGCTGAGCAGGGAGATGTGCAAGGGTCATACACATCTCCCTGCCTGGCTCTTAGCACCCAGAGCGGGCGAGGAGGTGTGTATGTGGGCACTCTGGCTGGCCCCGTCCAGCTATGGGCAACCAGTGACATCACAATTCTTTCTAGATATGCTTCTAGCTACAGCGTACATGTAGAGAATTTATTATGAAGTATGTTTTGCTGTGGAGTGTACACACAGCGTCTGAAAGTACCAGCTAAGTACCAGGTGTGCTGAAAATGAAAATCTGATTTTTTTTTCCTCTAATGTGTTTGGGTCTGTCAATCATTGTTAGACCATTGCTGCATGAACAACAATTGTTACATGTTGATGTACATAATATCATTAAAGATTGTGAATAAAAATTAAATTAAAATCCTTTCCCGTCTATCTGGTCAGTTGTGATGCGCTGCAATGCAGATGCGTTCCATTGGTGCCACGGGGTGCATTGAAAATGAACAGCACCTCTACGTACTAATTCCCGCATGGTGCGTCACAGTGCATAAGTGTGAATGGGCCCTAGTAGTAAAATCGGTATTTCATGCTAAAGGGTATCACAGTGAACATACAGTATGTAGACATGCAAATATACATGCACAGTTACCCGCAATGTTCCATCTAAACAGGGTTCCAGTGAGAAATAAATACCTGTACATATGCTGCATTTTTTTCTTATGACAGCACTGCATACAGGGTTTTTATGACCCGATGCCCTTGTTGGGGGGGGGGTGGGGGGTATATATATTTTTAGCTAAAATATTAACATAACATTTTATAACATATATTATATATTATAACATTTCTTGGGCTCCCTATTGGAACCGACGAAACAAGTACAGCCTTATTAAGACATTCAACTTGCATGGCAAACTAGAACCTCACCATATGCAGTGAACATCAGTGTATTGTTTGTATTATTTGGAAGATTCAGAGAATAGAGACACAGAGTGGGAGAGAGTTACCAGCTTTGTGGAACTACAAGTGTCTGTAGGTTTCTATATCTCATTTCTCTGTCTCTCCCTACAGAACCATGTGCTGGCAGGACA